AAAAATTATCACAATTGAATACAATTTATAGGAAAGACTTCTGGCCTTTGTATTTAAAGTATGACATCCATCTAGAAGCACTAATGCTTTTCATCTTATGGCTTTGGGCATCGGATCTTCCTGTCAGCTACACTTTTACCAGCCTCTGTGAGATACTTTTCTTAGTGGCACTCCGCTCCAGTCAATAACATTTCTGAATTTGTCTTGTATGTGTTTACTTGAAAATATTTAGCAAATGTTTTTAAAGCATGCCTCAAAGGCATCCAGAAAAACATTTTCTCTCTGTTTTAATACGTCTGACCTCCATGAAACCCCCAAGTGATGTAATGGATTTTCTCTGCACTGTGAAAGATGCATTTGAAGTAGCAGCTTGATATTAGTTTGATGTGTTGTACAGTACTTTGTCCTGTTACTGTCATTGATTCTAATAGGACACTTAGGAATATGGAATGTAGCAATGTTTCAGATTAAAAGCTTTCTAATCTTATTTTAAATAGATGTGCAACTGTGTGACAAGAAAATGTCATCTTGGGTTTTGGGTGACATCTGGGAGCAGAGTTGCTTGTTGAAATAGCAGCTGTGTATACGCATGCAGCAAGGAAGTTTTAGGTTAGATATGAGGGAAAACTTTCTAACTATAAGTATAGCTAAGTACTGGAATAGGCTTCTAAGGGAGTTGTAGAATCGACTTCATTGAAGGTTTTTAAGAACTGTTTAGACAAACACCTGTCAGGGATGGACCATCTACACCTGGTCCATCCTTCAGCACAAGGAGTTGGACTGATGACCTCTCAAGGTCCCTTCCAGCCAGACATTTCTTTTGTTCTGTGGCTGGTGTTGACTTTATTTTTACTGCATCCAGTTTACAGTTCTGTAGTTAAGGCAGTATCTCATATCAGCAGTCCCCTGAAAAGCCCTATTTTCAGGGGTTCGTAAGTCCAATTGATGTGCAGTCCTAGCAGTTGACTCTGCTCCCATCCCAGCTGTGGAAGGTGGCCCTCGTGTGTCTCTACAGTGACACCTATTTGTCAACTAGCAGTGACATTGAGTAAGTTCAGTTTAAAGGGACTGTCTTAAAAATGCAGGGTTTGTAATTTAATGTGTATAAGAGAAAGGGGAAGCTTTTGTTTGATGTGGACAGGCTTTTATGAAGCTGTAAGCACTCCATCTCCACACACTTCCTGCATTTCACAACCCACTCAAGGTGAAGTAGCACTGTTTTAGCCCCTCTAGTACTAATGCAAAACCCAGTAGGGACAGTCTCCAGGAATTTTGTTGGAGAAAACTGATGCTGAAGTTCCAAACTAATAAGGAGATGGGGTACATATCAGAGAGCTTAGAGCATGGCATCCTTGTATAGTGTGCTCCTTGACTACACCCAATCTCACCGAGCCTAATTGCACTGCTGCCGTCCCTGTGGTTTCCTTCATACTTATAAATAGAAGCTGGTTTGGCCCAAGCGGTTGACCTTAAATTCTTTGCATTAATCCTCCATCGCTGTGGCATGTGACACCTCCTAGCAAGGCCGTATCAGCTGTGCTCCCCCAGATAGCTAACAAATCACTTGCTACGAAGAAGATTGGCTTGGTAAGAATGTGAGGCTGGCATGTTAAGCCATTTAGAATTCCTTTTTTAGGAGGATGGGAGCAGTTGGGGGGCGTCCCTGCTCTCTCAATACCTGTTTAGCTCCTTTCCCAGTGAAAGTGGAATGGCAAAAGGATTGCTTCAGGCGTCAATTAAAAGAAAACACTTGTGGTTTTATCCTGACTGCAGCAACCCCACGATTTTAGTGATCCTCTGCTGGAGCGAAATGGGTGGCACCCAACACCTGAGAGTGTGTAGACCTCCAGTTTAGCTATGTAAGAAGCAAATTAGCATAGAGAAGGCTGTGATTGATCCTTGGCTTGCATTTTTATTGGATGGCTCGAGGGCTTGGCAACTGTATATGGAGCCGTTCACTTATAGCTCAGTGCACTTCAAATCCAGCCCAGGCTGGTAGTCGCCGAAAGTCATTACCATCTGACAGCTGTTAGGTAGCCTGTCTGTGAGCTGATGGCTTCCGTCCAATTTCTAGTGGGCAGGTGTTCACATCAGAGAATAAAGTTACTATTCCAGTTGGCACCCTTGTTGGCAGTCATACCAACGACGCCAATGACTTAATGGCACTTGAACTTCCCTAGTTCTATTGCCTCAGATTGGCTAATCCTTAAATAGCCATTAAGCTCAGGAGAGCAAGTCACCCAAGGGATGCCTTGAAGGTGACCTGGAAAGGGAGATAAACGGTGGATGTACTTTTGTTTTTTATGATGGAGAAAGGAGGTCTGAAAAGTTTTTTGTCAAAGGTGTTTTTTTTTGCTTTTGTTTTTTTACCTTAGATATTCCAGTCTGTTTTTCTTGTGCAGTATTCTGTATCCTAGGCAGAGGGGTCCCAAGGGTATCTGTGAATGGTACTCAGTTGTCTGCACAGCCAGTGACAACATGGGTTGTAAGCTGAAAAATAAGACCATGCCTCCTTGGTAAGATGCAGTGATGTGAAATAGGAAAAGTCTATCAGTATATTTGAAGAGGGTGTCTAGTCAGGCTGGGGAGAAACCAGACTGGGTATTCCTTTTCTGAGGTCTGTAACAGAGGGGGGAAATCTTCCTTTTTTTGAAGGATGCTCTTGTTATATCATAAAGATGCACAAAAGGCTCCAACAAAATTATTTTCATTTCACTTTTAAGTGCAGTATTGCATAATGTATGCTATCCCATTCCTACTCTAGTTTGCTTAAAATACTAATTTCCTGCCTACGATAAAGTGCTTCTGGATACATCTCTGGATAGTCAAGATCAGAGGGACTTTGGGCACCTGTCAGGTATGAGATGAGGGGGGAATATTGAACCATCCGTTTTTTGCTGAGGGAGTCGAACTTACCAGGAAACTGGCCTGTAGTTTTAAATGCAAAAACTGCTTCTCTGGTCACGACAGTGGGTGAGGGAGAGCCTGTGACAGGTTTACATGCCTTGGGATGCAAGTTGCTGTTTGGCTTTTCTTAGGTGTTCCAGTTGCTCCTTTACTTGGTACACAGGAAGCCCTGTTGTTTCTGGAGTTCAGCATGAACCAGTCTCATCTGGCTGCTTCCAGCAACTGCTGGGAGAAGGTGTGACATTGCTCCAACTGCCCACTTTCGTGTGAGCCATTCCACTACTTTATAAATAGAAACCCATACAGAGAAGGGCCTTGACCAGAGATTCCCAGCATTGTTTTCAAACCTTGGAGGGATTTGTGAGGCCTAAAGCAAGAGGAGATTTCTAGACCAAGTCACACTTGAGTGCCTGGTGTGTGTGTGTGTGTGGGGGGGGGGTGTCCTATAGTGCTGCTGGTTGTGTTTCTGGTGAGCTGTAGCCTGAGATTTTGGCCCCACTCCCCTCATACTACATAGCAACACCTGATGGATCCTGAGTGTTACCTCCGCTCCCTATCTGTTCCCAAGTGCATTGATCTCACATATATTCCCAGGATGGGGATTTCTTAAGGAGATATATTGCTGATCGCTGTGCCAAGCTGATTCATACCTTCCTTCTCTAGCGAAGTCACAGGCTGCCAACCAATCTCCTCCTTCTCTCCCCCTCCCTCCACTCTCACATCCTCAAGTGGGTGTCAGAAGGCTCCAACCTATGACCCACTTACAGATATGCCCTTGAACCAAAGTTGTAACAATATTGTGTTTATAACTGGCTTCAGCTGGCATTAAGTGTTTCCCAGGAGAGTGTCACTAAGGTCTCAACCCTTGGGGAGGGGGGCTCTGACACTTCCTTCCAGATGCACCTTCCTAAAACTGCAGGTACCAGGAGTTCACCCATGGCAAATATTCTGAATTCATGACTTTGTGGAAGCTAGTTCTTAAACAGTCGGCCAAGGAGACAGGAGGGAAACACCAGATGGAGTGGGTGTGAGAAGAGTGTTGGATGGGTGGAGATGTGTCTTACTGCCCCACTTCGCTAATAGGAGAAACCTGGGATGGTCTAGCTTTAAGGTAACTCTTAAACATCAGTTAAGCCTGTGATGACACTGCAGGCACCACCAATGGCAGCAGGGATATGCCAGCGTTAAGGGGACCTTTCTAGGGTAGGTCATGACATATGGAGCTGGGGAATTTTGCTGTAGATATCAACGAGGCTGTGATTTCACCCCGAGCGTTCCAGGTTTGACCCGCCACACCACGCTCTAATTCTAGCTATCACAACGATCCGTCAGCCACCGTTGAGTGACATACTAGCCTAGACCCCAGGCGAAGGCCAAGTAACCAGGTCAGCTGGAAAAAGTAGCTTATTGCTGCTGTGTCTATTCCTGTTTTCCAATTCACGTGCCATCTCCTCTAAAGCTCCATTTCACCTGAGGGAGTCCCTGGGTCCAGGCATCTGGCCCTCCAGCTGCACAGCCTGTACTAAACCCTGGAGAGCTCAGATGCTACAGTAGCGGGTGTAGTCTAAGAACCTAGACAGATAAGACTTCAGTGTATGTGAACAAGCGAGTGGGGGGTGACCACATGGATGAGATTCCCTCCATCTCAGACTTTTGCCATTCACACTTGGTAGAAGAAACCAGCTGCTTTCAGGAGCTGGTGCTCTGCCCTACTTTGTTTTTCTCAGCCCTTGCTAACTTATTTTATCCTAAGCCAGGCAGCTGGAGAGAGTCAACCAGTATGTCAGGGAGGGCAGTGCCAGGGAAGACAGGAGAGGAATACTGAATTAGAACCTTAGGAAATAACTTTGTTCTGCTCTTGTAGCTGTAAGGCCAGGTTTTCAACAGCTCAGCACTCAATGTGTCTTTTGAAAATCTGTCCCTGAGTGTGGATGCTGAAGCATCTTTGAAAACTTGCCCGGGGTGTCCTCATGGACTCAGATTTGGATACCAAATAGTATTCACAGCAATGTAGGAAAAGATTGAGATCTTGCTTCTGGGTGAGCTCAGGCCCTGTGCACTATTTTATTTGGAGTTTTGTTTTTTGATTTTAGTTCTCAAGGAGATAAGGGACCAATAACCCTCCTGGAGCCAGGCCTAGCAAATTCCATAAAGACATGGTGTGAACTTCCACAAACAGGTCAGTCAATGTGTCTCAGGTCAGTGGGCCCACCCTGCATTTCTAATACCAGATCCCAATCACCTCTAGGTTAACCTCTTATTCCAGTCTTAGACATCTACCTAGCTCTGCCAACACACTTAATTACTGACTGTATTCTATCCTGCCTTCCATTCCAGTCCTGGGTCACTTCCACTATCAGCCCCTCCAACTCCTTTCTAATCATGAGCAAAGGCCAGTTTGCATTTAGGTTCCTAGAAGGCTGATTAAACCTCTTCACCATTTAGGCCATGGTTGTATAATGCCTCCTGTTTGAAGTTAGTGCCCTGTGCCTTCTGCTGACAGTAAGTGGCTGATGTCTGAGAAGATGATACACACATCCATCCATGCTTGGTGCCAGCGTCGGGTCTGTTGTTTTTCCTGAGCTCCAAATAGTTCCTGAATGAAAACTAAAGCCCTTCAGCAAAGAGGAATCTTTTGATTGGGCAGCACTGCTAATTGCGGAAGCTAAATAACAAGACCACTTACAACTACATTCCTCTGCCTGCAGAATCTGAGCAAGAGAGGGGATGCTAGGCATGGGACAGGTAGGAAAGCCACCAAGCGTTGGAGGAGGGGTGAACCACCTACCTTCCTTGGTTATACCTTCCACATGCACATCAACTCTAGCTGCCGAGCCAAAACCACAGAGCAGTGCTGCAAGGATTTAACGTAGGCCACTTCTCAAAAGACAGTCCCTCTTTTTGCAGGCTCCACTGCTTAACAACAACCACGGTGGTATGCACTCCTTCAATGGTAAGTCAGAGATGGCTGCTGGGCTTCCAGTAGTGACAGCAATGGCTGGACGGAGATGCCCTTTAATTGGCTGCAGAGCTCGGGGGTGAATAGATGTCAAGTTGAGCCCCCGGCTGGAAGGGGGGCCAGCAGCAGCTCAGAATTTATAGACCAAAATCTGTGATTCAGCAGCAAAAGGGCCCCCCTTCCCCAGCAGTGCAGCTTGGTCAGAGGCGTGTTTAACCTCCCGGGGGGATGCTGATCTCTAGCCCCTGCACAGGGGTACGTTCAGCATGTTTTGGGGGGGAGTGAGAGAGGATGGGGGGCCTTTGGGAAGCTCTCGTAGAGACTGTCCTGTAAATGTCTCCCTTGGTATCGCAGGGTTATTGATGCCTCCCTGGCTGACTCGCTCCCATGTCGAATGAGGAGGGGAGGGGCACCAGCAGACCCCTCTATCACTGCCACGGGGATCCTGCCCCATGACTCCCCTCTCCTGGGAGAGGCTTTTCTGTCTGTCTCAGCTAGACCTAGGGCTGTCTCCTTTTTTAATTAAAGCAAACTGTCGGCTCCCGCACTGAGGACTCGAGATGACTACATTACCATGGTTGGAAAGGGAACAACTGCGACCTCCCAAGGAGCAGAGAAGCTGAGGATGCCGGGATTAGCCTGATAGTGTTCTCCTAAGGCAAATCCCACCAGAGCGCACTCTCTCTCTCTCTCTCTCTCTCTGGTTTTATTTGCAGGTGGGGGGAAGTTTGGGCTTCCAAGTATTTTGGCTGCAAATGAGCCTGAAACCTCCAAAATCAAAGAATAAACCCCGGGTTGGTTTTTGAGGGGAGGGGCCTGAATTACCCCAAAACTATAATTTGCTTGAGGTTCAGATCTGACTCTTGAGTGACCTGGACAGCATTCAGACTGTGCCATAATCCAAGACCTGGGGAGAGGTGTGGGGGCTTTTCAGTTTTTTCATTTTTTGTTTTTTTTTAGTATTGTTGTGGGAAGCCAAAGGGCTCAAGTTATTATTTCCCCATAAAAAACTGGCTCTGTTATAAAGGTGACGCACCGAGGTTTAGCATGGGAGAGTCCGGTGGGAAAATTAGAACAGTTATTTGTGCCACTTTTTTTAGTTAAGTGCACAGAACACACAGCACTCCAAATTAAAGATGTTTCTGGATTCAGCAAACCATCTCTGTACTTTACGGAAAAGCGTTTGTTTTAAAATGTAACAACATTGGGGAGTACAAGCAACATCTGCAGCTGCTGCATGTCAGAGGTCACCACAGTGCAAGATGGCAAAAGACAAAGCCCAGCCTGTGACAGCAGATGGAAGTCCACTGAAAATGGTTCTGAGCAGCACCGTGGAGATAAATAGGAGACTTCCGCTAACAACTGAAGAGTAATAAAATCTGATGCATTATTCCACTTAAAAAAGAGGCCATGAAATTACGAACCAAAGTGGTGAAGCCTCTGTGGAACAGAAACTAGGCTCACCAGCTTCAACGCCCGCCGCCCCCATGGGTTGCGGAGAGGGGAAGTGTCTGTTTAAGAGTGGAGGCACTGCACAGAGAGCCTATGGTCAGTTCAGTTTATGGTGCGGGAGTCTGGCCACATGGCCAATCCCCATGCCATCTTCTGTAACCAGTGACTGGACTGTAATTCTACTTTCCCTGACAGCGTGTCTGGCAACGTGAACAGGAGCAAGAGCTGCTCTGGCCTGGAGTACTGTTGTTACTGGTGACCTCGAAGGGAAATAAGTGTTTGGTGAGAGCAGGAACCTATGAGTTGGATGAAGCTGCTACGTATTCCTCCAGCACCAGCCAGGGCTCTAAAATGCTTGAGGGACCTGCCGACTCCTGACATCAGTTGCTAAAGGTGACCCTGTAGCCTTTGATGTAAATGACACGTCCAGCCTTGCTATTGTCATTCCTTTTCACATCTGGTGCTCATGCTGGCCTCACTCACTTGCATTTTCATTTAGCCCAGTGGCGGGGGAATCCTGGCATAGAGCTTTGCCTCCTTTTTCACATGACTTCTAGTCACACACCCCTACCACCTGACCCCGACTACTTCTATAACCAGAAGATCTTGGCTGATCTTGGTGGGGACCTGATTGATTTTTTTTTTTGAGTTTTCTGCTGGGTTTCTCAACCTTGGCAATGAAAAAAGAGTGTTGCACCTTTTTTTAAGATGCAAGGGGGGTTTAGGGGTTCAGCAATGAATGCAACAGCTTCTGTTGCTGCTCCTTCTCTCGGATTCTCGTAGGGAAATATCTGGACTCTGCTGTGCATACAGCAAGTGACTGGAGCCTTTCACCCACTTGAGTGCGTAGCCCCAAACAGCTGTGAATAGACTGGTACTTTCTGTCGTCGTCCCCTGCCCTCCCCCTGCAAAGAAAAGAAAAGAAGAAAAACCCCAGGACATCTAAATTTAACCTGCTATTATCAACATGTAAGGCTGGAGAGTTTCCACTGTGGAAATGAATCCAACTTGGAAACCTGTCTTCTCTTCTGTTCAGTCTCCATCCCTGCAAATTCCTTTCTCTAAGCCACAGCCTACAAAATGCTTTATCCCCCATCTCCTCTCCAGCCGCATACTCATATGCATCCTCATGTTCATCTTATGCATTTACCTATATGCTCGTTCAGTGTCATGCCACTCACACTCAGTCACGGGTACATGTCTATACAACCAATAGCTTCCTGTACACAAATAGATGGTGCATACCTTGCACACAGCCTTGTAATAGTGTGAGAGATGCTCTAGCCCTCAAACAGTTGGCTGCAGCATACAGACAGTATAAAGGCCCTTGCTGTACTGATTGCTAAAGGAGACCAGGGAGAGAAGCAGGGTGTTTGAGGATAGAGGGTTTAGAACTGAAGGCCTTTTCTCTTTGTCCTGGTGTCACATGTGTCTGCTGCCATTTTGGTTAGCACTAGGTCCCCCTAGATCTAATGGCACTCTCCAGTTTGAGTTAGTCAGGCTTGGTAGCTGGGGGCCTTAATAGACTCTCATCCGCTGTGGGTTGAACACAGAAGGGGGCTGCTGTGGTAATGCGGTCTACGAATTTACCATAGTCCTAAGCTCAACTGCGGAAAAGTGGGCCGAGGTTCATGAATGGTCACAATGAACTCTCTATAACACTGATTAAGGAAAGCTGTGAGGAGACAGACTGAGTTAATATAAACAGAAAGCGTTAACTGATATTACCCAAGGACTGTTACGATTATGACCGGTAAACAAGCAGAGCAGAAATCAAGCATCCAAAATTGGTGTTTTGGAAATCAGGCCTAACTGGTGGACAAAATAAGGAGCATGTGTGCACCCAGATCTGCAAGCAGAAGCAGTCCCTTTGTGCCCTGTGTCATGGGCATGTGCTGGGCAAGCCACCGACCTGCCTTGCTGCAGTTACAGAAAGACAGCATGCATGAGAGCAGGTGCCCTTGATCTGCCAGGAAATGGCCAGCACTGCAGGGTGAAACCTCTTGCACATGAAACCTCTTGCACAGGTCAGGTTAGGCCTTTCTCAGACTCCTTGCTGAGACGTCCCTGCCTGGCCTCGCACCTTTGGCAGCAGTGAGTGCTGAGACACCAGTGGTTCTGCAAAAGGGGAAGTGACCATCCAAAACTAGATGCAAAGACGTATTTCCTGAGGGGGGTGGGGAACCCGCATTGCCGCTAGCTGAATGTCAAGAGGAAGTTGCAGTTGAGACCTAAGTAATGCCACGAGGTCCTATTGCCTGCAGCTGTTGGCCTCAAGCCCAGGTCCCTGCCTTCTCCTTGGACACTTTCCTGTTGGATTAGATGCTTCCTTTCTTCTTGAAAAGTGACATGAATCTGAACAATGGCAGGAGCTGGGCAGGAGGGGGGGAGGTTGAGGTTATTCCTATAGACCAGTGGTTCTAAAATTATATCCTGAGCCCTACAAAGGTCTACAAAGCCCTGCTTGCAGGAGTGGCCCTAGGCATTTTTCAGCCACTGCCCTCCCATATCGAAGCGCCGTGCCCAAAAATACCATCAACAAATCCAGCCAATCAGCACAGCTGGATGGTAACTTCTGCAAGTTGGTACCCAGGGCAGTTGTCCTGCTCATCTGCCCCTATAAAATGGCCATGAGTGCTTGGTGGTGCTCAGTATGGAACCCTTTGAGGAACAAGTGAGGGTAGGAGGTTGGGAGAAGAGATGGGTCTCTCAAGATGCAGCATCTAAGCAGATAAAAAGTTTAGCAAGCCTCTTGCCGAGCAAGTGTGAAAACCACATCTGGTAACCAATTGTGCAGAAGCTCAACTGGTGTCTACCCTGGTGGGTGCTCCAGACTAGGTTAGCCTGGCAGCTTTATCACAGGGCACATAGCCCAGATGGTGGTTAGGGGAAGGTGGAAAGCTCCCCTGTATTTTTAAGCAGTACCTCCACACATTGTGGAAATACACACGCAAACAGCACATACACTGCAAGCAGAGTGTTTAAGGTAGAGATCTGAGCATGAATGCAAACACCATGTATTCTTTACCTTAAAAAAAAATCCAAACCCTCCTCCCTCTCTCAAAACCACTCCAGCAGACTTGTTTGAAAATTCCACTTTATTTCTCTCCATTATAAAAGCAGGGTTTTGTTTTTACATTTCTGTTAAGTGTCCAGAATGTGTTCATTATGTTTTCACAGTATCTCTGCAAGACCCCAAGGACGGTTCATATTGCTGCGGCATGAATGTGGGCAGAATGCTAGAGAGGAACCTCTGCTACGGGGTCTAAGGTAACCCTTCTCTCCCCCCAAAGCACCATCCTAATCCGACTGCCTTTCTCTGAGCTGCCCTGGGTTGAACTGGTCTTCCTTCCCCTTGTTCTTGAGCAGCATTGCAGGCTCTCTGCTGCTTCTTGCCATGCTCGCTGGTGCATACAATGGAGGAATGGAATCCACGTGCCATTGCTCACGTGGGGTTCTTGTTCACTAGCACACATGAAGTCCTGCCTCCTTTCAGTGTGTGAGAGATGGAAGTTAACGTGAGGGACCCCTTGCTATTTCCATCTTGGTCCCTCTGCAGCTCTGCCCATCCTCTTTCTCCTGACCTGCAGCAGAGACTGACCCAGTCCTTCCCCAGCAGAGACTGGCACATTTCAGCTCATGCAGTGGTTTGGGGCTGTAGAGAACTGCCCATCATGAGAGGAGTAAGATGGGACCACCAGAGCTACCACACTCGTGTTGCGCACCAGATCTGAACCGAGAGTTGCAATGGCTCATGTTTTCAGCAGTACCCAACGTTAGCTCTGCACTTTCTTCAGGACACGTTCCTCATACAGTCCCATCAATTGCTTGGCTCCAGAGCACCCAAATAGGGAGGTCGCTGTATTTCCTTCTGCTGATTGCAGCCACTTAGTGCAGCATGAGCTGGTGCCCTGAACATTCAAGTACCAAAGGAGAGGCTAAGTGCTATCCACAGCAATTCTAAATATATGGCTATTGAGTTATTAACCAGCCATATAAATAGTGGTGTGCATAGCACTTTCCATTTCCAGCAGCCACCTCTTTTGTGTTGGCTCAATCTGTCCTCGGCAGGTTTGTAATGAAGCAACATTGGAAAAACATCACTATTTAATCACAAAGCATGAAGTCTCTAAAAAGGCAGTGTCCTTTTTCTACCCCCGCGTCTGACAGCACAAAGGGAGGAGGGAAGGATGTTTCCAACAAGGAAACGGGAGAGGCATTCTTGGGATGGAGTGAGAGTTAAAGGCCTTGCAAAGGTCATGCAAAACTCTGATCCCTGACATGAACCTTCATTCTCACATTTACTGCACAGCCAGGTCTACTCAGTGCAGCAGGACAGTCTTTGCAAAGAGGTTAATGTCAAATTGCAGGGGTGTATCCAATCCAGCAAGATAGGCGGTAGGAATCTGGCTTGTTTAATGTACCGAGAGACTAAGCCTAACGCCATGCTAAATGGAGTACGACCTGAGGATTCCCTGAATGTGATTTCTGGTGAGCAGGAGAAGAAATCTTTCCTCCGAACACTCCTTCATATAGCTAGTTAAGACAGTGGGTTCTGATTTTTTGTTCCAGAGGTGCTGAGAACCCACAACCTGTACTGAAGTCAAAAGGAGCTGTAAATACTCAGCACTTCAGAAACAGGCTCAAAACAATGCCAGGCCTGAAGAACACCTCCCCACACGCGCGCACCAAACTTTGGGGCTGCTGAGAAATGGATGCAAGCTTCACCACTTGCGTCCATCCCAACTATCACCAGTCCGGCCGCAGCAGGAAGAGGTTTTGCTGTATTCAGTGATTTGCTATTGCATGGTATTGCCCAGGGGAGGATATGGATAAGTCTCAAGGGTCTGTACAAGTCAAGCTATAGCTGGGAGCTGATTAGACATAAGAAAGGGGAACTCAAGAATGGTGGGGGCAGTTGCCGTGCACACCACAAGGTCTCACAAGCTTGATTCATCATCCTCTCTAGATCTAGGGCCTGGGTTTAAGCCTTCTTCGGCTGTTCATTGGCAAACTGCTTCTCATGAATGGCTCCCTGAGTCAAATATCTGCCTGCTGGGAAGAGTGCAGGCATGCGTGGACAATCCCTTCCGGAGCAGTCTCTCCCAGAATGCCCATGAACACTGTTGCTGTTGGGAATAAACTCTGAGTCTGGTGGTGTGGAGGATGACTCTGGGTGCTGTCATGTGGGATGCCGGGGCTTTGAAGCAGACACTGAGGCCTCTGGTCCCTGGATGGGAGGGTGGCATTTGAGCATCCTGCCAAAATAAAGTGGTTGGACACAACTAGGGAGGGTCCTGGTATATCTAAGGCTGTCTTGCTGGTGAGCTCTTTAAAGAGCGTGCATGGAGGCTGGCTGCAATGCTAGCAGCTAGCCGATGAGTGGGGGGGAGAGACAGCTGCTTGGAGCATAGCGTGGGAAATGGCAGATCCAAATGGGAGTCTTGGGGAGTCCCAGTGAAATCAGCTGAGCAGGGACCAGCCAGGTACAGAACATTTGAGCACTCTTAGTCCCTAAGCAGTTCCTCCGTAAGGGGAAGTGTCACTATCTCCATTTTACAGGTGCAGAGGAGAGGTGAGGTGACATCCCTGAGGCTATACAACAAGAGCTGAAAACATAAGGTAGGTCTTCTCATCCCAGCCCCTGCCCTGTCCTCCAGCCCACACTGCCTCCATCATACAGGTTCCTCCATTTCTAAACTTCCCTCAGCCACACGTGTCTCAGTCAAGCTGCCTCCTTTTCATGCCTCCTGTCTTTGGAGAAATACTGGTGGTGTCTCTGAGGCCACCAGGAGATCTACCAAATGATTTCTTAGGGCCCTGACTTATGTTCCAAACAGACCTGACTTCCCGGAGCATCCTCCCCGCAGGATGCAGATTTTGCAATATTTACACCTTCTTTTGGGTTGCCTGCTTACACATGTATGCTTCCACCATATCTCTGCAGCTATGTCATCACCTACAACCCTTATCACTGAAAGCCATCTGAATCCGGTGGGACCATGAGGCGGGTTCTCCATCAGCCCAGGTGAGCACTAAAGCTATAGTAAGAGGAGACTTTTTTGTTTTCACTGTTAATAGGAAGGGTGCATATTATTTTCACAGGTATAATTCTTCCTGAGTCAGAGACTCCAGTGGACAACAGCTTTCCTCATTTACACCCATACAGCCCCAGTGATTTTAGATGGGTCCCTCTGTATCTTGCTTCTCTCACCCCACCCTGTTATGAATTCATTGGGGTTTCGTGGGAGTAACCGATGACAGAATTTGACCCCACGTATATTACAGCTTGTGTGTGACCCACCAGTCACGATGCCCTAGGGGAAAATAATTGTGTGCTAGTTTGGAAGGCGAAAGTCATCTCCTCAGGACAAGCAAGATGGAACTAATTCCCCTGATTTGCATTTCTTTTTGAGTACCACATCTCCAGTCGTTCCCACCACTGGCTGGATTGTTCCGTATTCTCGTGCCAAAAGAGGCTCAGCTCAGAAGGCTTAAGCAATGCAAGGTTGTGACGACCCCTTCTATCGAGCAGCGAGGGGCCCGGCAGCTCTCGTCCAAAGACATTTCTATAACACACTTGTTACTTGCATTGCAACTTTGTGTGCAATACTAGTCCCATTTCTGCTCATACAGCAAAACAACGGGTTTTGAGCTGGGTTTATTTCCATGCTTGCTTCTTCCATGTTTAAAACCAGGAAGGTTTTCTTTTTAATCTGGTTTCTTCCATTATCATTCCTTCCTCCTCATCCCTTGATACACTGACAATCTATCCCTCGCTCCAGAATGCTTCCCCTGACCCTCCCTAAAATCCTGTAGAAAAGAGATTCTGCTTGGTGAGATTAAATTTTCTTTCAAACACAGCTTTAAGGCAAAAGTTTGGCAATGCAAAGCAAAGTCTACATAAGGCCGCATGACTTAAGTTTGCAACTCAGAACCTTTTATCATTTTAAAAAAAACCCATAATAAATAAATAGCATTTAGCTCCAGGAACTTGAGTTTCATTCTGGAGAGAAAAAAAAATCCCTTTCCTCCCACCAAATATAATAAAATCCCAGATAAAAACCTTGTTTTGTTCTGGACAATCTGGGTGAGCTAATGAGACTGAAGTTCAAACAATAACTAAAGTCAAGAAGAAAAGAAAGCTACGGAGCTGGAAATAAAGTTTAGTTTGTTGATTCCTCCCTTAGGAATCAGGTGACGATACAGACCCTGGTCAAGGTCTTCTCTTTAGCTTTAGCACAGTGAGATCCGTCCCAATGGGAGAAGGTAGAATGGTTGCATTTCTGTTGAATGAATAAAAAGTGCATCTCAATTTTGCCTAGATTCTAAAAGTATCTAAGTGCAGGGTTATTTTCTTCCCTTCTGGTGCCAGGATGTCAGGTTGCTATTACCGATACTTGGAAGGGATCACCACTAGTGGTGGCCCATCCTTTGGCCTCCACATGAGTACCTGAGCATCATTGGCATTGGGTTTCACAAGGGCACTGGGTGGTATTGGCTCATTCTTGTTAAGGACCTGGGGCTGCTCTTGAGCAAAGGGTTGCCCCAGCGTGGCACGCTGCCCCAAGGGTCTGCTGGGATTCACCTCTATGCCCAACCTCATGCGCCACTTAATAGTCTGCAGGGTCACCATCTCGCTGGTGGCTGTGTTGGTGGCAACCAACCAGGTGGTGAAGCTTTGATCCCGGTGGATGCTCGTGAGTTTTGCCACGTTGCTCTCGCTCACAGGTACCGCCCACGTGACGCTTGGGTAGAAGTTATCATTCATACTGATGGTGAACTTGGATTCCTTCCTGGTGGGCCCCACAATCATGCACGTTTCTGTGGTGTTGCCGTACCAGGGGTAGTTCACGCCATCTGAGTCACTTATGGCCTGGATCTTGCCATCTTGCAGATCCGGGAGCTCCCAACTCGACCTGCCGCAACCAAGAAGGAATCACAGTAATTGATTAGCGCAGGGACTCACTGGGCTGGGTTTTTTCATTGTACTGCCTGAGAGCGGGGGCGGCTCTGAGTGTGGCTTCCCTGTATCTTCCTCTATCGGGATTTGTGCTCACAATGTTCCTCTGCAATGAGAGCTCATCCCTTCTGTTAAAACAGCATTGCAAATGCCAAGGCCCAATCCTAGAGGTGGGGGGCACCACTACACTGGTATCACACAGGATTGGAAACTCAGTCTCTAGGCTTGGTACCAGTGTGGTCACAACTTAACTACTGGGTGTGCTCTCAAATATATTGGTGTCTCTAAACTCCTACAGGTGGCCCATTATATCACTATCAGAGCCATGAGACCCATCCCAGTTCTCTTTTCTCCTGTCCCTTAAAAACCCTTTATTGCAACCGATCTTGTGCTGCTCCTTACTCAGCCTCTTACTCACTCCCTGCCTCCAGGACAAATAAGCTGCCTCCAGTTTCCTGGCCTCTGCTGGTTTTAAGTAAGAGCAGGAGTCAAACCCAAGTCTCCCAAATAGGCAGAGTTGCTGCCAAGCAGGCAGGCAGGCAGACTCCCAATCCTAGGGGACAGGTGGAGCAGCCTCAAGTGGTGGGGAGAGGAGGTCCCCAGTCTAATAGCTTTCAGCGGGCCCTGCCGCTTGCTAAGTCCTGAAATAAATACTTGAGTTTAGCAGGGACCTTCCTATCTTCATTCAGTCTCTAACCACACACCACTGTTCAACGTTCTGGACAAGCCACTGTCCTCTCCATCTGCCCCTGCTATATACCAGTCATAGGTAGGGCCCTCCAAATTCACAGTCCATTTTGGTTAATTTCACGGTCATAGGATTTTAAAAATCATAAATTTCATGATTTCATATATTTAAATCTGAAACTTCTCAGTGTTGTAACTGTAGGGGTCCTGACCCAAAAGGGCATTGTGGGGGGTGGAGTTGCAAGGTTATTGTAGGGGGGTCTTGGTATTGCCAGCCTTACTTCTGCGGTTCTGGTGGTGGGGTGCTGCCTTCAGAGCTGGGCACCTGGCCAGCAGCCACTGCTCTCCGGCCGCCTAGCTCTGAAGGCAGCACAGAAGTAAAGGTGGCAATACCATGACCCCCACCCCCACACACAATAACCTTGCAACCCCCTTTTGGGTCAGGACCTCCTGTTTGAGAAATGCTGGTTTCGCATGTGAAATCTGTATAATAAGGGGTAAAAATACACAAAAGACCAGATTTCACGGCCGTCAATTTGGTAGGGCACTAGTCATGGGCAAGGATTGCCTTGTCCAGCATCCAGCACAATGGGGTTCTGATACGGACCAGGGGCTCTGGACACTACTTTAATACAAATTACATTAAATAAGGCCCAGCCTCTCCCTCTACCCCTTCCCCAGTCCCTTCACTTTAATCTAGGGCAACTTTCTTACAGCGCAAGACTTGATTGTGCAGCTAAAAACCCAACCAAACCAATAATAATGAGGCAAGTTGTTCCAGTGACCCTTGGGCTGTTACTTTTGCAGTTCAGCTACAACAGAGCAGCCTTCCCTGTGGGGGTGGGGGAGTGGTAGAGCTGGGCCGATTGTTCTTAATTAGGCAGCTGGAGAGTACAGGGAGGTAAATGGCCCCACTGGCAAATTAAAAGGCGAGGTGTGTCTGTTCTGCATTCAAAAGGACCCCCCCGCACCCCCATCAGAGCAGGAGGGCAAATGTCACTCAAGGGAAGCCCCACCTCCTCCACCTCTGCCCCCCACCCCCGTCACTCCCAGAGTGTTGCCATTTATTTTATTGTGGCCAATCAAAATGCAGAAATTCAGCCCACACCCCCATCACCCCATTTCCTCATATGCCAAGTCTGCTAAAACATCTCAAAACTCATCACAAGAGAAGCAACACTAGCATTTAAAATATTACACCACTGGCTGGAGGTTTGCGTGCATGCTGGCTTTTGTGGTTTGTGTGGTTTGTTTTTTTTTAAGTCTGTGGATTGACTTACACGTATAGAGGATCTGAGTAGAATACTTTGCATTTCTAAATTCAGGGTGCTCACTGCATTTTCCAAACGCTAATAAGCACCGTAGCCCGCCTCCCACCTACCTTGTGTTTTATCCATTTTACAGATGTTGAAGCTCAGAGGGGTGAATGGTCTGATTTTCCCCCCTCCAAGTTGCAGAGCACTTGCAGAGCCCACTGATGTTAGTGGCGTCTGGGAGTGCTCAATGCTTCTGAGAATCTGGCCCTAAATGCCTGACCCAACATCACAGCAAGTTAGAGCGGTGAGAGAGAGAGAGTGCGGTCCAGCAGCTAGGCCCCTAGAGTGGGACTCAGGAGACCCGGATTCTGTTCCTCAGCTCCACTGCTGACCTCATGGCTGAGCTTGGACAAGTCCGTTCCCCTCCCACCTTTTTGTGTATTTAGCCTGTAAGCTGTTCAGAGCAGAGACCTCACGTCTGTGTGGTGCCAGGTACAAGGTGGGTCCAATTTTGGTTGGACCCTCAGGCACTACCTACCAAAATACAAATGTTAGTGGCAGAGCTGGGAAAAGCACCTAGACGTTCTGACTCCTCATCACCTGCTGTCACTGTTTAGACAAAAGTGCCACACCGCAGACCCAAGGGTTTGCAGGCTATCACAGTAACCACAAAAGCAAAGGCTAGGTGGTTCAATGCCCTCTAAACTGGGAGGGGGAGGGGAAAGCAGCTGCAGTCTTTCTGATTGCGAGTTTAAACATAATCACAGGACTCCAACCAAAAGGCTAGTGCTTTCTATTGAGAAGATGAACAAAAATGTTCCTGCCCCATCTGCACATCTGACGTCAAATGCTGGAGTTTTGACGCTTCCAGTTGGATTTTTCAAGCCCATTATGAGAAGCTGATTATTGGGTAAGAGGGACATGATGCCAGAAATAGCTGAGCTCAGCTGAGAGCCCGTTTTTTGGCAAAGTAAACCCCACTCGAGTGACCACAAATGCTGACAGGAGCCCAAAGGCCAAGATGAATTCTGGAGGTATGCTTTTACAAATTGGGCTGGCAACGCTGGTTCTCCTGTGCACACTGAATTCCTACTGGCTATCACACGCCAGAATTACTGCGTTTTGGGGGGATTTTCTTGCACTTCAGTACAAGTCCTATGTCCCAGCCTTAAAACAGCCCTTGGAGTAAATCAGAGAAATATGCTTTGAGCACAGCACTGGGAGAGGGAGACTCTACAGTCTAATCCAGGGGTGGCCAACCTGGGGCTCCGGAGCCACATGCGGCTCTTCAGAAGTTAATATGCGGCTCCTTGTGTAGGCACCGACTCCGGGGCTGGAGCTACAGGCACCAACTTTCCAATGTGCCGGGGGGGTGCTCACTGCTCAACCCCAGCTCTGCCACAGGCCTGGCCCCCACTCGCCGCCTGCCATGCCCTCGCTCCTCCTCCTCTCCCTGCTCCCAGAGCCTCCTGCACGCCACAAAGCAGCTGATGGGAGGTGCAGGGAGGGAGGGGGAGGCGCTGATTGGGGGGCACTGGGAGCAGGGTGGGGGAGCTGAAGGGGGGCTGCTGACGTATTACTGTGGCTCTTTGGCAATGTACACTGGTAAATTCTGGCTCCTTAGGCCCAGGTTGGCCACCCCTGGTCTAATCCAAGCTTTGGTATTGACTCACTGTGTGGTTTTGGGCTAGTCACTGAACCTCTCCTTGCCTCAGTTTCCCAATCTGTAATGTGGGAATAATACAAGCTACCTCTCAAAGCTGTTCTGAGGACTAATTAGTTTAGAGGGAAGTGATAACTCACTGGTTTGAGCATTGGCCTGCTAAACCCAGGATTGTGAGTTCAATCCTTAAGAGGGCCATTTAGGGATCTGGAGCAAAGATTGGGGCTTGGCCCTGCTTTGAGCAGGGGGTTGGACTAGATGACCTCCTGAGGTCCCTTCTAACCCTGATATTCTATGATTAATGTTTGGAAAGCCCTATGAGATTTCTCTTTCACTAGTTAGCAGCAGACGTTTGACTCTAACCATCCTGCGGGGTATCTTTTACGATCCGAGGTTAGTCGTGGTCTCCTTGGTTAAAAGCCTTGCACTTGTGGTGCTGCAGCATGCTGTATATGGTGTGGCTGCATGTCTAGTGCTGTAGTCTGTACAGTCTACAGGGGTGTTGCAGGATGGAAGACACGACATCAAAGGAAAATATTCAGTGCAAAGCATTATTTTAGGAAACTGCATAGGGCGTGAAGATCTGGGGTCAAGATCTTAAAAAGGGACTAGCAACTTTGGGTGCCCACCTTCAAGGAGCCTCATTCGCAGAAGGCAGGTGCTCATTACTTCCTGGAAATCAGGCCCCTTTAAGGTATCTCAAGTTGGGCCTCTAAAAATCACTAGTCATTTCTTTCAGAGTAGCAGCCGTGTTAGTCTGTATTCGCAAAAAGAAAAGGAGTACTTGTGGCACCGTAGAGACTAACCAGTTTATTTGAGCATAAGCTTTCGTGAGCTACAGCTCACTTCATCAGATGCATTCAGTGGAAAATACACTGAATGCATCCGATGAAGTGAGCTGTAGCTCACAAAAGCTTATGCTCAAATAAATTGGTTAGTCTCTAAGGTGCCACAAGTCCTCCTTTTCTTTTTACTAGTCACTTCTGAACATCCTGGCCTCAAAATATCCAGGCCACAGAAACCTGGCATCCTGACCCCTGCCTGGTAAGTTCAGTGCCATGTGATGTTATCAGAGCCTGTAGGGGTATATAGCCTGATTCGGTTTTTCATGTGCTACAAACCTATTAGCTAACATACTGTCTGCGGCAGTTCTTGTTCTTCCAAGTATATTGCCAACGGACAGAGGGAGTCCTTTTCCCGAGAGCCACTTCTGACCTAAAACTGTAAAAAGAAAACCCGAGTGGATTCTAGCCATAACCCCTGTGGCACAGGGGAGACTGATTATGAGTGTCTCAAACAGCAAGGAGTCATTTCTCCCCTATGCTCCTCAACAAGGGATGAGAAAGAAAAGCTCTAGGGATTTTTCAGTGAACTCTTCCCTGCAAGGGAAGATGAATTGGAGGTCATGTACTATAGCAACAGGTTTAGCCCTTGCAGCAGAGTCTCATCAAGTGTGATCTCTGAAATACTATATGGGAATCCTTTCTCTCCCTTTCAGCAGATGATTTAGGATTACTTTCCGTTCAAATCATTGCTGATGCTCAGCTTGATTGAGGCCTGGGGACGAGATGTGACAATTTCCTGGACGTTCCTATACATTATGGATGTGCCCACCGCTGAGACGCTGGGGCTGTATAAACGTGGGCGTGCCACACTGGGACATCTCGTTTGGGACTCCGTCCGCTACTTAAGGTTTGTAACTGAATCCTGAGCTGTTTTGCCCTACCCTTGCCACAGGCCAGTGGAAAAACAGTCTGGCTGAGGATGCCACTGGAACTGTGAAAATGAGTTAATTGGTTCCACCTTAGTGTCTGATGGATCTTTTGTCTGCATCCCAAAACCATTATGTAAGAGTCTCTGGTCAGGAGCAGCTTTGCAAAGGTTGTTGCAAGTCAGGACTGAGAGGCCTAGACAGATCAGTGAGAGGTTTTTCGCAGGGGTGGGTGAGATTCTATGGCCTGCGTTGTGCAGGAGGTCGGACTAGATGATCATAATGGTCCCTTCTGACCTTAGTATCTATGAATCTGTGCTGGGCCCTGGATTAGACCAGTAAGGAGTGTTGCCAATCAAGAGGTGCATCTGCAGAGTTTAGGGAGAAGGCTAAGGACTCAAATGGCAAGGGGTTCTATATGGCTAAAGTGCATCGGTTTAACTTTATAGACGGACTCAGGGTGGGGGATCAGGAGTGGATGCTGCAGGGCAGGTGAGAGGTTTGGGGAGGAAATTTGCACAACACCCAATGGCTCCATCCTTAATTCTAGCAAGCGTGACTAATCCTGAGGATTTCAATGAGCATCAAATTTACTCGCGAATGTTAGCGAGAGGAAGAAGTAGGCCTTTGTCGTCATCCTGTTACTGGAGCAAAGGGAAACTAAATAGCATAGTTCATGAACCACAAACCCTGGACTTCCTGCCCCTTGCCTGCTTTTATCAAAGATCCCTTGCCACGAGGGGTCATGACCTTTGCTTGTGTGGCTTGTCCATATGAAGTCAAATAATTCTCCCCCGACCAGCCATTTTGACGTGATCAGAAGATGGTGCTGCAGAATGCCCAGTTGCTGCAAACGGATCTCTCTGGGATTAAAACCGTGCCATGGAAAGCCCAGAAACTTGCACTGTAAATTCTTCGACCCCAGGGAAGCTGTGTGAACTCCCAAGCCTGTCTGATTTCAGGCTGAGCTGCTCCAGAATCAGTGGTTCTGGCTTGTAATGCTGACAGGTTTGTGGTTTACTCTGCTGCTTGGTTGTCCAGAATCACCAGAAACTAGGGTAGCTGAAAGGCCTGCTTTAACTTACCACGGGCCCTTTACGAACACACACATACTCTTTCAGCTACATCTCCGTGGAACAATGGTGCCCAGGCTGTAGCCTGTCAAGCCATATTTTCCAGCCTTCCTAATCTGGGTTCTGACCCCCTCCCAATTTCCTTTTGAGGCATGTTTCTTTCTATTCCCTAACGAGGGGACCTAGTCGCTGGCTTATACAATCCCTCTGGATGTTCCCCTGCAGCATAACATGAGGCCATAAGTGCAGCATTGTGTGCAGTGACAGCAAATTCAAGCAAAGTGACCTCCAGCTTTCCGCAGCAAGCAGGATGACATGGGTGCATTCAATTTAACCTTTTCAGACAGGCATAATGTGCCATCAGTAAACACTCGGATGCTTGCTCATCCTCGGACCTCAGTGCTTGAAGCCAGACCTTAATTAGTCACAGGACATTATGGCCTTGCATATTGTTTTTATGATAAAAGGGGTGCGGCTTGCATCAGATCTAGACTTTGCTCTGCACGGATGCTCAAGGAATCCATTTCGGGGGGGGGGGGCAATGCAAAGCCATCCTGGGCTTTCCACCCATCCTTCCCCATGATTCATTGTGACTAACATCACCAGCTAACCAAGTCTGTGCCTGATCCTCCATGTTCAATACAACGCCCTTTATAAATTGGCTTTTACCCTCTACCTCACCTACTTCAGCACTGCAAAGCAATTCAGTAGGGCTCCTAGTAAAGAACAAGAAGTGAATGAGAAAGTGGAATGGGGACAGACTTTCATGCGTGAGAGTAGCAGAGCTGTTACCGCTTTTAGACTTTGGGGGAACCTCAATGAGGTGTGTTTTTTTTTTTAACAAATGTTGGTTTGCTGCACTCCAAAAATGTCACCGTTCTTTTAGTGGATTAGTCTCCAATCACATTTCTCCTCCTGGGGTCTTGGAAGTTTATTCTTCATATAGGCCTGTTTTTATAGCAGAGATGAGTTTAATTCTATTTCTGTTGTAGGCCCTGGAAGATGCAATCTTTAAGGCATCTCTCTTTTAAAACTTCAGGGGACATTGTAGAGATAAAAATCTATATACAATTTTATTTTGAAAAGCCTTTGCATATGACTCGAAAAGTCTGATTTATTTTTCACAGTCTGTGTTTTGCTTATCACCATCTGTGCTGTTACCTGCACTTTACTCCATGGAGAGAGTAAAAATAACCTGGTTAACTTCACATAAATTTTATATTCTTATTTGTATAGTGGTAGCACCTAGGAGATAGTCATGGCCAGGACCCCACTGTGCTAAGCACTGTACCAACACAGAGCAAAGAGATGGTCCCTGCCTCAAAGAGCTTACAATTTAAGTAGGGCCTGACCTTGCCGTCCCTGCTTAAGCAAAGCTTTCACTGCCTGATTCTGATCACCCATTTGAGTAGCACCTTGCTCGACGAGTAGTCCCTCCTACAAATAGTGCTACTCCGGGTAAGCAATGGTATCGGAACTGGGCTCTCAATGCAACCTAATAACCAAGTTGTCTGCAAAAGGACAGCAGAATAGGAACAGCAGGCAGTTTCACTTCATAGTCCTTGTGCTCCGTTGCTCTGCTGTTTGTTTTCAGCTCATGACACTGCAGGAGGAATCTTCATGGCCAAGGAAGAGTTCAGTGACTTTTTAAGCAATGGCATTTCTCTTAGCATTAGGTTTTTCAAAAGACCACCTTTGTCTGTGTGTAAAACCTAAAAATGTGGCACCTAATCCCTGAGTTGCAGACATCCTTTTAAACAAGCGTGTGTTTGAAGGACTGCCTCTCTACCTCTCCTCCATCTAGTACTGAGGGGTATGCACAGCTCAGTCTGTTCCTGCGGTCCCCAGCCATGCCTGCCTTTTTCAGTGCAATGGGCAGTGTATCGATGACTGAGTGACAACTTCAGGATGTAAAAGCAAAAATGCTTCAGAGCCTGGTGCGAAGATGAGGCTCCCATTCTCAACCTGAATCCTTCCCGTGCCATCAGACTTCATTCAGGGCATGGACATTAATTTTTGTATCCAGAGTCATTAGAGCCTGTTTTAATGGTCCGTTGCAACAGTGATTTTTAAAAAAATCCAGTTGTCCCTATTTAAGAGGGAGCGTTCCTTGAGCCAAATTCTCCACTGCTGTAAAACTCCAAAAATGGAACTCTGCTGATGTACACCAGCAGACGACCTGGCCCGTTCTTTCAGCCAGATTTCCATTGGCAAAAAACTCTTGCAGTCCAATGTACTGCAGTGGCATTAAGAGGTCTTTCTCCCCAAATGCCCTTTTTATAGCTTTATCATGTGGCAGGTCTGGGGGCAACCCTCTAAGGAAATGGCATGGAGAGGCCAACAAACTTTTAATCATGTTTTTGTAATGTATAAAATCAGCTAAATATGGCTGACCCCAGAGGAAAGCATCTCTTTGCACACATACAATGATATTTTCATCCCTAAATTTGCATTGTTTACTGAATTATAGTTCATTATTCCTCTGTATGTGCTGAGCTTAATTCCAGCTGCTCTGATAATACTTAGCTCTTATACAGAACTTTTAATCTACAGCTATAACAGCATTTTAGAAAGGAAGGTCAACATCATTATCCTCAGTGTACAGATGGGGAAACTGAGGCACAGAGACAAAGTGACTTGCCCCAGTTCTATATGTGTGAGTGACAGTCGGGTATAGAATCCAGCTGCCCTGTTAGTTTTGTTTTACTGAATACCCACCTATATTTATGTACCAGTGGATTTCTGTGTGTTTTCCTTTGCACCTGATCATCTAGGCTAAGATTGTCAAATGTGGCTATGGGAGTTAGGCACCCAATTTGTTTCAGCTCCTTTGAAACCCCCAGCCCTAATTTCCTGTTGCTGGGCCCTACCCTGCAGAACCCCATTTTAAAGAGCAGAGAGTGAGCCCAACCTTCCAGGGCTCAAGGCCCACTGTGTGTTTTAGAATCAGTAAAATCTTACCCCTTCCCCATCCAACCTAACTCCCAACATTTGGCTGTTGCCCATGTGTTGGTGAGGGAGCGCTTTCTGCCTGGGCAATGAACTGGGAAAGGAAATGGGGACAGAAAGCAGGAACTGTTCTCCTTGGCAATCTGCTCCCCTGGGGCACTGGGCCTGTCAGGCACATATTCGCTTCATGCCTGAAATGTCAAACTTGTGTCATTAGGCTGGGCAAATACTGTATGTAAGCTTGCTCTCTCTGGGTCCTGCAGTGCTCCTGGAGGGGAGAGGCACTGGAAGGTAGAGTACAGCAGAGATGCAGTTGGACCTTTTGGGAAGGCAATATGTTAGGTTCATCTGCTCTCTGGTTCTATCCTCTGTCCCCCTTCTTTTCCCTCCTCCCCACCTTTCATTTTGTAGTTGGCCTGTCTTTCCCCCAGCTAGGCAAGCATTTCCCTCATGCGGTGCTCGTTGAATTAGCAATCAGGAAGGTTGCTTAAGCCTGACCTTTCCATCCCATCTTCCTCTGTGAGACTGGACAGCATCAGTGTGTCCAGTCACCAAGCCATCTGCCTCTCCTAGCCTACGCTATGTTCCAACTTCAGACTCTTGTACTGCTGGCTGGGCAAACCACTTCCGCTGCACCATGAGTCTTCTACTAGTTTTACCCATGAGCCACACACTTGCTATTCTGTGTGGGGGTGTGTGTGTAATGGTTATTTATATATATATATATATATATATATATATATATATATATATATATATAGGTGGAGCTGCATTTCCACTTACATCACAATTTGGAGGTAGAGAGGTGTGTGGTTTTTTTCCCCCGTTCTTTTCGCTTCTTGTTCTTACATGGTGTGGATGGGGATGTACATTTTTAACCGCAGGCCCAGGGTGATGCACAGCGTTAACCCTTCACTCTTGCAGCCAAATCCTGCTTGCCTCACCCATGCAGACAGCCTGTTGCAATGAGCAAACAGGATTCAGCCCCCTAATGCTGCCGTACATTCATAGTTGGTGTAATGTCAAGCACTCAGCCCTGCTGATAGCACATTGCAGGAATAGCAACCCAACTTGTTTACAACAGCAGAACGCTGTAAGTGTCAGCATTTGTTTGCATTCTGATTTGTAAAAAAGCACCCTTTCCTTTTTTTAAAGGGGGGGCATCGGCAAAGATCTGGCATGGAAGGGACTCCCTTATCATATGAAAAGCAACACCCTTGTCTTCTACCATATCTGCAATCTCGTGGCAGGGGTGACTTCTGCTTTCAGGATTTTCAGTGTTGCTGGATCCCTCGGACTACCCTCTGTATAAATGGTATTGCATTTGGGTGGCTACCAAACCAAGCGTTTCTGTTTTAGGACCTGATTTTGTTCCCCTGGGAGTCAATGGAAAAACACCCACTGCCTTTAAGGGGGCAAGTTCAAGCTTTTATCTCTCTTTTAAAGAAGCGTACAGTTTTAATATTAGAGAAGCTAAATCAAATGGGCTAAATGGTGCTTCACCAACCAAGTCCTGCTTCCCCTGCTGCAACACACACATACACACACACATGCTCTCGCACTCACTGGAAATACTTACATTCCCTGCTCCCCGTAGTGGTTGTAAAACTCCATATGGCTACACGCCTGAATCCAACCCACAATCCAGGTCTCTTTCTTAGGGATAGGGGGTACCAAGACCTGGGCAGAGGCTCGAAAGTGAGGGGTCCGGTATCGCAGAACCACGCTGGATGACTCGTCAATGCTGGTGGGAACGGGATCGATGGAGGCTTTCACTTCAATCACTGAAATACTTTCCCGGAAAACTTTGGATTTGCAGCTAATACTCTGAATACAGCCCATGGCATACAACACCAGTGCAATTCCTAGGACACTCCAGCAATCCTGGGGAAGATTAGGCATTGAAATGATATGGTGCTAGATCAAATATAGATCTTCCTGCTTTGTAATCTCAAAATTGATATCCATAGGATAGAAAATTCATCACATAGAGTCTTTATTTGAATTTCAGTATTATCGCTGCTGCTTCGGCTCTTATGGAGTTAGCTGCACTTCAGAAGCAGAGGGGCCTTTTCTTATTCTCCAGTTAATGACACAAGAAATCTTTCATTCATATCTTCTTTGGATTAAAAAAAGTCTTGAGTTCAATAAATAATCCTCTCCTTTTTTAAAGATGAGATATTTAGTCCTTCCTTTTTCTTGAATGCCATCTGTTCACCATGAAACATCGGCAAAGCGAGCATTTCCCTTTATTCTTTGGATGAAAAAGCAGAATGCTGATAGACACATCTATATAAATAATAAAATACTTCTGGTCACAGCTCCTGTAGATTTCCACTTCCGGACTTGCAGTTGTTCATAACTTCCTTTTGCAAAGAAAAATAGTACTGTAATTAAAAAATCAAGATGGAAAATGTTAAATCAGCCACATCTCTCTGATTTGCAGGCTTCTGTAGGTGGCGGAGATATGGGTGTTGCTGATATTTTTTTTTTTTTTAAGTAATAGCTTAAATAATAAACCACAGGTCTTTGTCACACATCACATTCCCCCAGCTTTGCATTTAGAAATAAAACAGGAGGGGAAATGACGAAAATGAGAGCAGTTCCCAAGGAGATATTTTAGCTTTTCTGTTGCACCACTTCGCTGATTTCTGTTTCAACGTTGCTCTCCCTTCTTCCCTCAATCACTGCGGATTCCAACTGCAAAAACATCACTGGAAGCCCGGCAGACGCCCTGTCTCCTCCCCTCCTGGGCTTTCCGCGAGCTGTGGGAGGGGGGCTACCCCGCCTGGGTTTAGTCCTTCCACCTCTCCTCTCCGGACCTGGCTGCGGGATGGGGAGGAGCCGGCTCTGAGATCTCTAGAAGTTTTGTCAAACTTTCTCTGCGGCTACTGGTAGTTGGAGCTGCTTCCTGGCTGCTCTCCCCCAGGTCACGATCCGCCGCGCTGACCCAGCCTGCAGCGAACAATCGCCTCCCGTGACATCGCCACTCACCCGCCACCTGGGCTGGGGAAGGATGCGAAGCCGGGAGGATACGAGCCCGGCGGTGGCTTCGCAGCTTGCCCCCACCCCTCCTCCTCCTCTTCCAGCGCTGGGCTTTTAGTTCGCTGTTGCAGTGGATCGCATGTCACGCCGCCTGTGTCCTCGGATGTCTCGGCAGCCCTGGCTCCGCAGCCCGCCCTCCTCCGTCTTGTCTCTGGGGACCAGGCTCGCCGTCACCCCCAGGGAATCACCTGCAGGCATGGGGCGAGGGTCCTTTGCGTGTGTGTGAACAGAGAGAGAGAGAGAGAGAGAACAGCCTTCCCCCCAGTCTGTGCTTCCGGATCCTTGTGTCTTCAGAGCTTCACAGCATCCTGCACCTTGGGGGGACTTTGCATTTTCACAAATGCACCTCCCCTCTCCCCCCCCGCCCCGGATAAATGTCATTCACAGTCTCAGATCGCTTCGGAGCTGCAGCTGCTGGGGGCTTCTTGGTGCCGGGACAGCAGCTTCTTCGTGCATCCGTTTGCCAGGCTTTTCCAGCCAGACCTGTATTTGCTGTGTGTGTGTGTGTGTGTGTAGGGTCGGGTTTTTTGTTTTGTTTTTTGCTTTATGTCTCGGAAGGTGAGAAAAGCAGGAGCGATTCCCCCTCGCTGCTGCAAGCTTCCTCTTGTTGCAAGAAATAAATCAGGGGGCAGGATCTGAATTGCATTTCAGCCTCTCCAGTGGATCAGTCCCTTGGACGGTGGGGGAACAAAATCCTGCTTCAGTTTCTGCTGCAGCATCAGAAAGACAGCCAGGTCAAACTTTGCAAGAAACTCATTTTCATGCCCGTGGCATTCTCATGCAGCCCAGCTGTTCTTGCAGGCTTTCCAGGGAGGGAGCTCTGTGCATGACAGCTTCTTTCCCTCCGCCCCAGTCCAACTGCAGTATTATTAGCAGGTCTCTCTCTCTGCCGCTCATACCTCCCTCCCTCTCTCTCCCAACCCTCCCCCTGTATTCCTCGCTTAAACTGCAGCTGTTGGAGCGAAACCTCTTTGCAAAACGGCATTTCCTTTCAACAGCTTCAGGCATTCTGGGTAATGTAGTTTTGGTTTTTTAATTCCACCTATTAAAAAAAAATGCAACGCTTTTTCTGTCACTTTAATTTTGGCCCTTTTCTTTCCTCTGGAATATTTGCTGGCTGAAGTTTGGTAGGTGGATTCAATCAGGGGTATGATATTCCTTTAGTCCTAGGCTCTCTGGGCTGGGTGGGGATTCTGGCAATGGAAAATCGAAGGCTTTCCCTAGTGGGAAAAGGACTGAGGAGTAGCTGGCACAGACAGAAAATTGAAAGTGGTTGTGAGGAAGCAATGGCTGGTGGAAAGTTATTACCTTGTATTATTGATACTTGCCATGGTCTTGTTGTATAGCCAATGGCTAAGGTTGAGAGTTTTCCTCACTGTGTTGGGTGCAGAGCTCTGTGAAGATCTGAGCATGAACCCTGCTGGGTGCTAAACACAGCTGCAAACCTGGCGGGGGGGGGGGAAAGGGGGGTGTGCACACGTGTTTATAGAATTATTATAGGTCTTAGTGCTTTTCATCTGTAGTGCTCAAAGCTCTTTACGAAGAGGGTCAGTATTATTATGCACATTTTATAGCTGGGGAAACTGAGGCACATAAATGTGAAATGACTTGCCCAAGGTCAACCAGCAGTATAGTGTATTATATCAATATAATAAGACGGACACTTGTGTGTTATTTACATACACAATTTAGCTCGGACAATGTGCTTTGCACTGCAATCTACCCAGGTACAATCTCTGCCCTTGACTCTACAGTCTTCTAATAGATACACGGAAGATTGGGAGGCAGAGGGAAATTCAGACACGCAGATGCCTTCGGGACAGGGCGAGGTTGTATCTGCTCCTCGTGGGCAGTGCTGGAATTGCAATGGAGCCCATTGGATCTGAGACCAGAGTGAGAACACAAGAATTTCCCTGGGGTGTGCTGGCATAAAGTCCTGCCTCCAATGCTCAGTTCGGACCAATAATGTTCAGCCTTTCCCCACCCCTCCTTCTTTTCAGCCAGGCTCCCTCCTTCTACCTTTCTGCTCTGGAGAACAGAATGAGGTGCCTCAGCATGGGTGGGATGCTGAGCCCACGCCCCTTCCTTGGCCTGCTCCCCCTCTTCATGCACCTTCCACTCTTCATGCAGAATGGAGCAGAACTGGCCACCACACTCAATAGGTTGGGGCAGAAAGAGCCAGGGAGGGACAAACAGGCCCAGAGACCACCACAGAAGGAATTTCCCTAGCTGACAGGGTGATGGGCTGATGGGGAGGGGAGTGGTGAGCTGCTAAGCAAGCCCATAACTGTACAGGAGTGGGGAGCAGAGACCAGCCCCAGATGGAGCAGGCGAGATCGTGAGGTTGCTCCTATTTGACTTTAAAAGTCATTTACAGTCTACTCTCTCAGCAGAGATCACCTACAGATTAGCTAGGCATGAACACAGGCTTCCACGTTTTGCAGCCACACCCTGTTGTCTTGTGAAATTGTCAAATTAAGCTAAGCCGGATCAGAGCTGGTCAGTCTTTGGATGGAAGCTTCCAGGGAAACAGCTGCTAGAAGGGGGATTCATTGATCATTCAGCAAGTGGTAATATTTTCTTGCTTTACATTTTTCAAAGTGCCATGCAAACATTGGATTCATTACTGATTATTACTATCCCTGCAACAGATAGGGAAACAGAGCCGCACAGAGCATACAAGGGAGTGATTTGCCCATGAGCTCACATCAAGTCTGGTGGAGGGGGAAGTAGAACTCAGAAGTTCTTGACTCCCAAGAGACTTCTTTCTACCAAGTCAGTACTGAACCAGTGCTCTGGACATTGTGATTCTGGGACTGATGTTCTGCAGACAAGACTTAAAACAAGGTAATTCAAAATCCCATTGCACTTTTTGCAATAATTGAGTAGAGCTGTGTGGCCAACAGAAGTTCTGTTTTGTGCAGGATTTTAAAATCTGGCTTCATTCTGAAGGGGAACAGAAACTGAAAATTTCAAAATATATTATAACATAAAATTAAAAAAAAGTTGAAATAAAACCAAAATGATTCCATTGACCCAATCCTAATTTTGGGGGGAATTTTTCTGCACTAAGAATCTCCAATTTTTGAATATCTATTCCAATGCAGAACTATAATTTCAAAACAAAAAACTGAAATGTTTCATTCTGAAAATGTTGACAAGGGGACATTTCGACCTTGTTAGATTCCACCCCCCCCCAAGTGTTCTTCTGAAATGAACCCAGTTTTCAAGAAGCATTTTGATTTCAATAGAATCTGGTTCTGTTACAATTTCGCTGAGCCTGTTTAACTTTGCTGTCTTCGTCGATTTCTACTTTGGGTCATTATAGTCTACCTATAACTCCAAATCATCTCTGCAGCTTCAGTGGGATTCTTCTTCACGTTTAGTGGTACGTGGCTGCGTAGCATGCTGGGGACTGTTAAACAATTGCCACGTTCCACTCCAGCAGTGGCTGCGTGTGAGGACTGGGTAAAGCAATCCCTGTGCTACAGTGTGGAGAAGAGCTTGAAGGTGAAAATGTTCACGCTGAAGGCCGGCCTTTGAGGCCCAGCCGTAACCCAACATAATGTGGCGCTTGGGGATATTTGCTGATCCCTTCGGTTGTCTATGCTTTTCCTTCTTAAATCTGTTTAAGTGTTTGTGTGCCCCAGTCTCACATTATAACATGCCCACTCTCCACTCCTCCTGGGGCTATTTTCTCCGAGCAGCAGGGCTGATATACTGCACTATCACCTTGTTTCAGCAGAGGATGACGGAAATACAGCACCTTCTTTTATGGGGTGGGGGGGGAGGAAATACTGCAGTATTCTCCACTAAAGGACTCAAATACTGCAGCTGGAGCCAGCGTTGCTGTCGCATTTCGGGTTAATATTCCAGAATACTGTCATGTATTTTAAATAAGGTTCCTTCCCCCACCTCCCATTCATCACCACCACCACCTCCTTCACTGCCACCTCCAAATCAAAAGCCTACTGAAAACCAGTCCTATCGTAGGAAGGCAGAAGGTTTTGCTGTTGAGCAGTTTGGCTGCAAGTGTCTGCTGCTGCTTCTTGGCTGTGGCTGCTGGAGCTTGGGGTGTGCTGAAGGTGTCGGTGATGCTGGTGTGGGTGGGGATGGGGAGGTTTCCAGAATCATGGGGACAGAGGCATTGCTGTTCTTCCCTGACTGCATCTCCAGTGCAGGCTGCACAGCTGGGATTGCCAACTGAGCTGATAGGCAGCAACAGCTATGCAGGGGGTTTGGGCCGTCAGACCCCGCCAGCCCAGGGGAATGTGGGGCCAGCCTGGGAGGACGAGCCTGCTGGTTGGGGAGGGAGCTGGCAAGGAGGGGAAATGTGCTGGGCCTGGGCAGAGGCCACTCTCAGCAATCAGCCACCTTAGGCAAAACTTCAGTCTGCTGCCCTCAACCTACTCTCCTAGAAGTTTGCAACAGCCCCTCTGCGCCTCCCCCACTGCTGCTACCTCCCAGCCCTGAGCCTCATGCAGCCGGGTCAGAGGCCTCTGGGACAGACCCCAGTCTGACATCCCAGTGGGTTGAGCTGGGCCAGGCCACCATGAAAGTCCCCTCAGGCCTGTGCCCTAGGCCCTGCAAGCTGCCAAGACCTGCTCTTTGGGCCCGCAGTATCCCTGCCTGCACTGCCCAGCCCACCCCCTGCACTTTTCTGGATTTGCATCTCAGTGTTGGGCTCGTAGCCGTGTCAGTCTCTCCAGAGCCCACACATGGGGGAGTTGAAGCAGAAGGTGGAGCAGGAGCCAGGCACTGCGTGGGCAGCAGGGGGGTTAGCTGCCAACCTGAAGCCGGGTGGGGCATTGCACTTGTGGCTGAAGGCCTAGCAGAACCTGCGGTGCCGCCAGGAGCAGCCCCAAGCCGCTCAGCACCGAAGCCACTGCTGTGACCACTATCTTACCTGAACTGGGCTCAGGGAATAGCGGAGTGAGGGCAGGAACACTTCCCCAGCAGCTCAGCTGGGGACCGCTTCCTGCTTCGTGGAGCCATGGCTGGTGGCTGCCAACATGTCTGGGCAGCCCCTCTGCCGCCACCACCAGTCTGCCGCCTTCCAAAACCTGCCATCCTAGCCAGCTGCCTAGTCTGCTATAGCTAGCAAGGCCTCTGAACTGTGGCCTCCGAGAAGGGATCTGGGGAAGGGAGCTGGAATCCATCAGCCTGGGAGTTCTCCAAGGTGCTAAAATAAACCCAGTGTGGATCAGATTGCAAGACCAAAATAACCCAGCAGCAGCAGTCTTGGAAATCTGAGCAGAGAGCACAGCGTTCAGCGGAACGTGTGTGAGGGAGGGAAGGCACATTTTAATGGTTTATTAATAATATTTCAAAGCCGTGTATTTCTGGTTAGCTTCCAAAACATGGTGTGCCTCTGCGAACCCTGCTTCACCTCTCCTGACATGCAACATGCAGGTGCAACATGTGTCTGTGCTCAGGGCAATCTGTGAATGATGCAGCCTCAGTGTGATCTGTAGGAAACCCAAAACTTTTCTCTTGAACTCTCCTTCCCCTCCCAGGCGATGGACCATTGCAGCCTTCCTAGTTGTAGGGCTGCTAGCAACAAGCTGCTAAAAGCAGAGTTCCCTGCCCAGTCCAGTCTTACCACTGAAAAGGGGGGAAAGGGATGAGTTGCCGCCTCTCCTCCCTTTAGGAAGAGTGGGAACCGGACAGATAATTGCCTTCCTCTCCCATCAAGCTGCTAGGAGGAGGACATTGGGAAATAAGTGCTAAATCTGTGGGGTACCCTAGTTAACCACTTGTGCTTATGTTTAAGGCTGGGACCCTGATTAGAGCTTGTGAAATGTGTGTATGTGTGAGAGAGAAAGAATGTCCCCCCTGTGTACTGGAAAGTAGTTGGCAGGAGAGAGACCTGTCAGATTTAAAATTAACCCCAAGTGTTTGCTTTCAAAGTATTTTTCCCTGTGATTACTCCACTGGGGAAACTGCCCAGTAACAACGTCCTCCTCCCCACCCCACCCCCCCGCCATGGCTCAGAGAGTCAGAACTCTTCCTCCTGATTGTTAGGACCATTGCTACAAAAACAACACTTAATTGCAAATGGACACCCCTCACCCCCCCCCAGAGCAACACCCCTGCAGCAGGCAGTAGGAGTGTCTGGGCCATTCAGAGCAAAAGTGACAGCTATCATAAAGTTAAAGCAGTGACCTGTCTAGCCTATGGCACGTGGGTGGTGATTTTCCCATGCCATGGAACCTCAGCACAGGGTAATGGCAGACCAGTAGTAACAGGGATATTGACCGCTCTGATAGCGTAAGAATGCAGCTGCATGACTCTGATCAAATGGGACCTACTGCGTGCCTGTGGTGTACTACTAACAGCCCTCCTGTGCTGCCTCTTGTCTGTGTCTGCACGAGTGTGTGGTTGTGTGTATTGTATATGCATATAAGTAGTAGCTGTCTTTACAAGCCAAGCTGGGGTGTGGCTCCTGGGATGGGATAGGTGTGTTTGGAGAGGGGAGGGGACAGAAAAGTTTGCTGCAACGCAGTGAAAGAGCTCTGTCCTCAGCTGGTCATCACATAGCAGTGGTAGATCCCTGGGGCAACAGAGGCTGAGAAGCTGCATTAGATTGAAATACATTCCCTCTCTATGGATAACAGGTAAAAATATATCTGATGGTCTGAGAAAGAGGCTAGGAGTTGGGACTCCTGGGTCCCTTTATTACCTCTGCCACTGATTTGCTTGGGCACATCATGGACTAACCTCTCTGTGTCAGTTTGTCTGTAACAAGGTCTTATACCGCCTCTCTCCACAGGGCTGTTGTGATGCTTAATTAATTCATGTGACACACTTTGAAAGACTCAGATGCAAGGTGCAATAGATGTGTAAAGTTTTATTATTTATTTTATTATCCTCTAAAGCCAAAACCACCTCCTACAGATGGTTTCAGCTCTCCCATGCAATGTATGACTTAATGCTTGTATTGATAAATAGCACTGGAACCAAGGAATGTGCGTGCCATAGGGCAATGGTAATCTTTAATTGCACTGCCTATCATCTGAGGATTTCAAGGCCTGTGACAAAGATGGGTGTGTATTATATCCACTTGACAAATGTGGAAACTGAGGCATGCAAAGAGGCCTTGTGGCTTGAAGGGCAATCCTGAATACTGTCAATATTGCTCCTGTCACCATCTGGAGGGGTCAAAGTAGCAAAGGCATCTCCTCCAAAAGACTCAGCCTGGCCTACAGGGCTGCAGAGAAATGTCCCTGGAGACACCCCCTGTTCCTTTCCAAGCACTGCCAGATTAAGCACAGATCCATTGAGCTGTAGATCCAAATCTTACATGGCAAAGGCTCTAGTCCCAAGAGCATTTAGATCTACTGAGGTGTGGCTACCACCCGCACAAGGGGAGGGGGGGACTTGGTTGGGGGCTGGCCCAAGCTGTCCTCTGCTGTCCTGTTTGTATTGCATTAGGGAGCTTGATCTGAGCCCCTATGCAGATGTGGCCTGAAGCAAGAGTAGGGAGCTTGCTGTTGACATCTGTCTGTGAACAGGGAGAACAGCAGCCCAGAGCTGCATGAGAACTCCAGTTGGACAGGAGATCTAAAGGGCAGGGAGCTCTCTGCTGGCATCTGTCGGTGAGCAAGGGGAAATGATTGAATGGGCCAGGCCTCATTTGCATTTCAGTTATGTGGCAGGTTGGTGCATTTTGGTTAAGACACAGTTAAGTTTTGAGTTTGGGGGCAGTAAAATGCTGTTGTCCGTGATGGGAAATGAAGGGAAAAGAGAACTGCATCAAATGTGCCTAGGGTGAGAAGTCACCCTAACCGCGATTGTGACCTGGCACAGCTGAATAGCAGTTACTGGACAAAGTCTAAGTAAGTAATTTGAATGGATAGACTGGGCTCTATCTTCTGTTGAGACGCCCTTCCTGGTGGTAGGGGCTTTGTTTAGGGATGCTATATGTCATTGACTTTTCTCTGAAGACTCCTTACGGAGGTAGCTTCAAGACAGTGGTTGGCTTTGAGGTGGTGGACAGAGGTAAACTGAGGTGCTTCAAGGCTGTGCAGGGAGCTGAGGTGGCTTGGGCTGAAGCCACAGAGAGCCGCAGCTTACCGGAGGGACTTTGGTGCAGATATCTCTACCTAGCAATCAAAGCTGAAATCGCTTCTGCTGGGTCAGGCGGTAGAAGACCCTTCCCCCTCCCCCTGGCAACCCAGGCAGCACTTCCCTTAGGGGCTGACGACTGAACTGAACACCTCCAACCCTGGACACCAAACTGCAAGTGGGGGAGCTGCGGAGGAGAGAAGTGGCCAGAGTGCATTAGGAGGACTGAGTTTGGAACTACTGCGAAGACACCTTGGGGCAGGGGGGAAGAGTCTTGCCTAATACTGTCCATTTATTAACTGCTGCCTTTCCTGAGGTCATTCTGTTGCCCCTCTTTCCTCTCTGCCCCATAAAGTACTCTTTGTTTTAAACTCTGAATTCCCCATCCCTCTCAAAGCTATGCAGCATCTGTTGGTCTCCCAGTAACATGCCTGATACCTATAACCACTTCATCACACGTCTCCGTAATAAATCAATCGCGTCCTATTCCCTGAGCCTGTCAGTTTTCCCATACTCCATGCTTCCCTTTGAATCTCGTGCCTTGTAGTCTCTCTGGTCACACCTTGCTCTGCTACAGATGCTAACTGCATTGCAATCTTCCACGCTGATTTGAGTTTGCAGGTGTCGCCTGCTGGGAATCAGGGTTCTGTGATTCTGTGCGATGCAGTACAAACATGTGCTACAATGAGGCGGGCGGGAGAGAAGGGGAAAATCATTAGCAATCCAGCATCTCTCTTAGTCCAAAGGCAGGTGCTGCTACACCTACGGCCCAGAGGCGAGCGGGTTGGTGGAGCAGTTACTGCAGGAGTTTAGAAAAGGTGGCTGGGTGTTGGGAATATAGGACTAGTGATATTTGAAGGCAATTAACACCGAGGAGTGATGGGAATTATTTAGGGCAGCACAAAGGGGGACAAGGGGGCCAGTTATGAGCCATGGGCTTGAAACTAAGTGAGGGAAAAGAACCGGAGAAACTCCCTGACAGTGCCCCAAGGAAGCCTCCTCTCCTGAGACTTCAAACGCAGGCTGCACAACAGCCTGCGGGGATCAACCCTGCCCTGGTGGGGGGTGTGTGTGTGTGTGTGTGTGTGTGTGACTTTTCCAGCTCTAATTCCTCCATTAAATCAAATGGAAGAGCACGGTGAAAAACTACATTTCCCAGTCTCCCCTGCAGCCCTGGGGATATAAGCAATTGGAAGATTTAAATAGACCAGGCCTGAAGCAACCAACCTTTGGCACATAGAATTTCCCCTCCTCTTCTCTGTATCCATTGGCTGTTTAACCTTTTTTCTGGTGTTGGACTGGCTGCCCAGCCTGGCATTAATTTTTCTTCCAAGCTTGCTAGGCCCATGAAGTAAACAGCCATGTGCATTCCTTGCTCTATATTTAACAGCTGCAGTCTGTGCTGGGGGAGACTGCACAAGAAGGGAATCTGTGTCGCTTACCAAATTCATATCTCTGAAGGGGGGCGGTGGGGAGAGCTGATTGGAAGGGGAGAGGGATTTCTCTCCTGTACGGTTTTTTGAAAGCAGGTTTCATCTAGGGAGACTCCACAATGCCAGCATCCCAAAGCCGGGCCAGAGCCAGAGAGCGGAACAATGTCCTGAACAGGGCTGAGTTCCTCTCGTTGAACCAGCCCATGAAAGGAAACCAGGAGACCAGGAGCTCCAGCAGAAAGCAGGGCAGTCAGTCTGGTCTGGCTCCCACCCAAAACGAAGGCACCAAGGAGCGGAGGCAATCTCAGCAGCTTCCTGAGGAGGACTGCATGCAGCTGAACCCCTCCTTCAAGGGAATTGCCTTCAACTCCCTGCTGGCCATCGATATCTGCATATCCAAGAGGCTGGGGGTCTGTGCCAGCCGCGCCTCATCCTGGGGCAGCGCCCGCTCCATGATCACACTCATTGGGATCACAGGGCATGGTGTACCCTGGATCGGGTGCACACTCATCTGCCTGGTGAAGAGCAGCACGCTGGCGGGACAGGAGGTCCTCATGAACCTGCTGCTAGGTGAGTAAAATACTCCACCTCCTGCACTCAAAGCCCAGCCCCTAGTCACAAGGGACAGCAGGCTTTCCCCCCTCCTCTGTCTTTTTCATCCATCTCCAGGGTTTTTAAAGGAAGAGGGAATGAACTTAAATTCAGAAAACTTATGTTTATGGGGTTCCTGGCATTTATTGGCCATCTCTGTAGATCCAGGGTGCGCTGGGATACCCCGTTGATGAGTGCAGTAGGGTGCTCAGATACCATGGTGATGGGCGCAGGAAGGTGCTCTGATACCATGATGATGATGGGCGCAGCATAAGGACCTAGTGGGCACGTGCTAGGTTCTGTGTCTTCCTGCCTAAGAAGTCCAGCTGGCTTCCATTTGCCTACTCCTGGAGTAAGGACCTGTGCAATGTGAGACTAGCAGAATGAGACCTGGAACGGTTAATGACCAAACCTGTGAGCAGGAAAACCTTATGGCTTTGATGCTGTCAGCCAGATCCTTTATTTAAACTGCATCTGTCTCCCTCAGAGGCTTAGTTGGGACAGATTTAAAGATGAATTACGATTTCAGTCGAGGGTGGTTAAAGGCAAAATGGGGATCAGAGTCACCCAAGTTCGGTGCTCTCTCTGCAAATGTTTTGTGTCCCCCTTCCCTCTACCTTGGACAGACTCTGGGTCCTCTTGTCAGCTGCCCCAAGGGGAGTCTCATCTCCCGCCTGCTCCTGCTTCTTTGATCTTCCTCCCTTCCTTCAGCAGGTGCCTGCCCTGCACCATCACCTGCTGCTCTGCCTTGCCTTACTGAGCAGAGAGAAGCCCCTTTTAAAAGACTATGAGGACCAACTGGTGAGGAACTAAAGGCCCCTGGCAGGCCTGTACAGATATCCTGTGCAAGGCTAGCCTCTGGGGCCCAGGAAGCCTGCGGCTCTGGGCCTCTAAACATTTGCAATCCAATGAAGATCAAATGCTAATTTCAGCTTTCACATTTTTCCCCCCGTTGCTTGCCCTTTTCACTGCAAAGCTACGATTCTAAATACAAAGCAGTCCCTAGGCTGGCCCCCTTCTCACAGGTTATTCACACTTAGCCATGCAGCTGCTAGCACCTGGCCTCTTGGGAACACAAACCCACATTGGTAGGTCCCCTCAGTTCTGAGGTGGTGCCCAAAATAGCCTCTGCTGGGCTTCCCCCAAATCTTAGCTCAGCTCCCAGTGACCCACAAAAAAAATCATTATTTTTGATCTTGTTCTTTTTCATGGGAAACGTAAAGGCTAGTTTCATCCCCTGTTGATCAAAGGATGGTGTACTTTGTCTAACACCCATTGCCATAGTAACTAGGCAGTTTCCAAATAGGGGCATATTAGGGAGATTGCAGGAGACTTGGAACAAGATGCACGGGGACATTTCTGTCCCCTGCGACCCCCTTGTCACATTTCCATCATCTCCCCTCGTAGACTTGCCATTATCATGTACAAGGGGGTGGCTGATACAATAGGAGTGGCCAGTTAAATGCCCAAAATTAGGAGGGCAGAGATCGGCCTATTTATAGAGTGCCCATTGCAATAATATCTAAGTGCTGTCAGGATAAAAGGCCGTACTGGGGATGTGTGGTTGGTGGACCTAGCCAGTGACAGCAAGAACCATTGCGCCTAAGAGAATGAGACGGGCATAGTATGGCCAGCGAATGTGTGTCTGCCGGCTCCTCTGTTTCGTGAGTTGCTTCTCACCAAGAGTCTGGGATTTTTCCCCCAAGACGGATCCTTGAATATTTCAGTGACCTTTTAAATTTCTCAGCTTTCCTTCAGAAGGAGACAGGGCTCCCGTCACAGACTTTACCTCCCCGCAAGAAACTTGGTTTGCTGATACTGTCCGACATCCTCTATCACCCTTTTGTTTTGGCTCAGCCCCATATGCAGTACAAATCCAGCAGTACTTGGTGATAACAAAGCCCTTCTGGGTGGGGATGGGTCCGAGGGAACGAGCTCTTCCCACTCTTGCCCTGACCCTTTGGAAGGGGAAGCAGCAAGGCTGTTCACCCCACTTGGCTTTCCTCCCTTCCCCCAGCCCCCTCAGAGTCTGATACAGCGAGCAGAATTTCTGATGCAGTCTCTGGGCAGGGAGCCAGCTCATCACAAAGCGCTTGTTTAGGATTTGTAATCAGGCTTTGCAAAGGGAAGGAGTAAGGAGAATGTTGAAATGGGACTGGGGACCTGGCAGAGGCACAGCTGCAGATGGACAGCGGGCTGCATGCCCCCGAGCTGTGTGCTGGGTGAAAACTTCCCAGTGGTATGATGGTCTGTTTGGGTGGGGGTGCTGAAATCTAGCCCTGCGTCATCCTCTTCTCCCTCCCCATAGCATGGATCCCAGCTGTGGATCCCCTCCTTAGGCCCAATGGACCCACGTTGGCCCATACATTTGCCGTCCATGCTGGGATTTATTAATTCACCTCTGTTTCATCCCCAGCCACAAATGCCAAGCAACCAAAGTAAAGAAGCAGAGTCATGGCCTGTCGCTAAGAGGAGCGTATCTGTCCCCACTATAAGGGCTCCGCTGCTAGAACACGCTTTCAGGAGAGCGAGGCCTGGGTGCTGCCAATCTCATCTGTTCAAAAATTATGAATCAGGCCCCCAAAATCATGATTGGCTTAAAAATCATGAGATTTAAAACCGTACAATGTGGGTTCATTGTATTTGGAGCATTTAGAGGTCACATTTTCAAGTTTTTCTCTGCAATAAGGAGAGATAGAAACTTACATTTTTAAAATCAGAGCTGAGATTTTCAGATAATCATCTGACTCCAGCAGCTGGAGAAAATCAAATATCCTGGGACTCACAATAAAATTGCCACAGTTGGCAAGTTGGGGCCAGTGCTCCGATCCAGATCCAAACTTTCCCAAAGCTGAAGGGGGATGGGATCTGGTGTTCTGATTCTAATCCACCTAACAGAAATGGGCCTAAGTTCATAGAATCACAGATTATAAAGCCAGAAGGAACCATTATTTAAGCTCAGTACCAATGTGGACACAAGAACAAATGGATATAAACTGGCCATCAGGAAGTTTAGACTTGAAATTAGACGAAGGTTCCAAACCATCAGAGGAGTGAAGTTCTGAAAGAGCCTTCCAAGGGAAGCAGTGGGGGCAAAAGACCTATCTGGCTTCAAGACAAAGCTTGATGAGTTTATGGAGGAGATGGTATGATGGGATAACATGATTTTGGCAATTAATTGATCTTTAACTATTCATGGTAAATAGGCCAAATGGCCTGTGATGGAATGTTAGATGGGGTGGGATCTGAGTTACTCCAGAGAATTCTTTCCTGGGTGTCTGGCTGGTGAGACTTGCCCACATGCTCAGGGTTTAGCTGATCGCCATATTTGGGGTCGGGAAGGCATTTTACCCCAGGGCAGATTGGCAGAGGCTTTGGGGTTTTTCGCCTTCCTCTGCAGCGTTGGGCACGGGTGACTTGCTGGAGGATTCTCTGCACCTTGAAGTCTTTAAACCGTGATTGGAGGACTTCCATAGCTCAGACATAAATTAGCGGTTTGTTACAGGTGTTGGTGGGTGAGACTCCATGGCCTGCGTTGTGCAGGAGGTCAGATTAGACGATCATAATGGTCCCTTCTGACTTTAAAGTCTATGATTCTATGTGATCGTCTTGTCTGACATCTTAAGTACCACTGGACGTCCCTGAATTAATTTCTGTCAGAACTAAAGCAGATCTTTGGAAATGTTGGCTGTTTAAGTGATAGAGAATCCAACACTTCCTTTGGCAAGTTGTTTCAATGGTTAATGACTCACTGTTTAAAAAAAAATGCACCTTTTTTCTAGTGTAAATTTAGTCTTGTCTAAATAATGTCAATAGCTTCAACTTCCAGCCTTTGTATCATCTTATACCTTTGTCTGCTAGACTGAAGAGCCCTCTGTTATCAAATTTCTCTTCCCCATATAGTTACATATAGGTTGTGATCAAGTCATCCCTTAACCTTCCCTTTGTTAAAACCAAACAAATTGAGCTCGATAAACTGATGCTCTTTCTGGATCCAGAAATCTCTTAAGCCTGAAGAGGCTCGGTTCTGCTGCCCAGTGTTGGGTCCCTTTTTGTTCGAATGCAAGCTCTGATTCAAAGGACACTGCCTATTGGGCCCTTATAGTATCCGTTCCATCTTCACCCCTTTCCCCGATTCACAAATCCTCTTTAAGGGTAAGTGCTCCAGCTCCCTGGTAGTGAGTCAGGGAAGGCACTGGTTTTAAATCATTTCTTCCTGCAGAACGCCGTACTTCTGGGGATAATAATAGAATAGTAATAGTGAACCTTCTTGTGGCACCGTTTAATGCAAGGATGTTCAAATGCTGTACCAATATGAGTTTTAGTTCTCAACCCGGTTAGGAAGGAAGGAGCTGGTATCATCCCCACTTTATCACTGAGGAAGCTGAGCCGCCAGAGAGAGGGGAGCTGACTTGTCCAAGGCCATACTGAATGGTTGTCAGGGGCCCTGTCCATAAGGGAAGTTTGCTTGGGCCCAGGGAATTAGGTAGTTCCCCCAGCACCCAGAAGTGGCTGATTCTGCTCTCGTTTACACTGTTGACTTCAGTGGAGCTACTCCTGATTTACACTGGTGTGAGTGAAAAGAGAATCAGGCCTGAGGTGTTGTGAAGGGTCTGGGCTGGCTGGTACCAGGGCTCATCCCTCTTGGAGATATGGGGAACACAAAAGTCCTCTTTTGAAGGACTCAGCCTTTGGCTGCACAAAGCCCCCCTTTTGATTAATTTCATTTAGTAACCAGGCTGGGGGAGCCTGATGAACCTTCAATGTAAAACTCTGGCTGTGGGAAACCTGGTTTATTATACTGAGTTCTGTAACATCAGGCTGTTTAGCATCTGGGGCCTGATTGTCCATTGGCTTGCTCTTGGTGCAGTCCTACACATCTGTGCAAGGCGAGTGGCAAGTGCTACTATGTGGATTTGGTAGCATTTTGCACTCAGCTTGCACAGGCATAAATGCTTATACAAGATGCATGTCAGTGG